AGAGTCTCTCATGGGTCCCTGTACGGCCTCCCATTGCTGCTGTCTCCATCGCCACACACTCTGCTGCCATGTGCCATGTGCCACTTTCAGGTCTCTTCACACTGCTGGTGTGTTAAATTTTTTGACATAGGGTGCAGGCAGATTACGGGCCTCACATAGCTGCTGCCAGGCCCCTAATCTGCCATGGGCCCCTATATACCGCCTCCTCATGCTGCTGCATAGGGTGCAGGCAGATTACGGGCCTCACATAGCTGCTGCCAGGCCCCTAATCTGCCATGGGCCCCTATATATACCCGCCTCCTCATGCTGCTGCCAAGTCCAGAGTCTCTCATGGTCCCTGTACGGCCTCCCATTGCTGCTGTCTCCATCGCCACACTCTGCTGCCATGTGCCACTTTCAGGTCTCTTCACACTGCTGGTGTGTTAAATTTTTTGACATAGGGTGCAGGCAGATTACGGGCCTCACATAGCTGCTGCCAGGCCCCTAATCTGCCATGGGCCCCTATATACCGCCTCCTCCTGCTGCTGCCAAGTCCAGAGTCTGTCATGGTCCCTGTACGGCCTCCCATGCTGCTGTCTCCATCGCCACACTCTGCTGCCATGTGCCACTTTCAGGTCTCTTTCACACTGCTGTGTGTTAATTTTTTGACATAGGGTGCAGGCAGATTACGGGCCTCACATAGCTGCTGCCAGGCCCCTAATCTGCCATGGGCCCCTATATACCGCCTCCTCATGCTGCTGCCAAGTCCAGAGTCTCTCATGGGTCCCTGTACGGCCTCCCATTGCTGCTGTCTCCATCGCCACACTCTGCTGCCATGTGCCACTTTCAGGTCTCTTCACACTGCTGGTGTGTTAAATTTTTTGACATAGGGTGCAGGCAGATTACGGGCCTCACATAGCTGCTGCCAGGCCCCTAATCTGCCATGGGCCCCTATATACCGCCTCCTCATGCTGCTGCCAAGTCCAGAGTCTCTCATGGGTCCCTGTACGGCCTCCCATTGCTGCTGTCTCCATCGCCACACTCTGCTGCCATGTGCCACTTTCAGGTCTCTTCACACTGCTGGTGTGTTTAAATTTTTTGACATAGGGTGCAGGCAGATTACGGGCCTCACATAGCTGCTGCCAGGCCCCTAATCTGCCATGGGCCCCTATATACCGCCCTCCTCATGCTGCTGCCAAGTCCAGAGTCTCTCTCATGGGTCCCTGTACGGCCTCCCATTGCTGCTGTCTCCATCGCCACACTCTGCTGCCATGTGCCACTTTCAGGTCTCTTCACACTGCTGGTGTGTTAAATTTTTTGACATAGGGTGCAGGCAGATTACGGGCCTCACATAGCTGCTGCCAGGCCCCTAATCTGCCATGGGCCCCTATATACCGCCTCCTCATGCTGCTGCCAAGTCCAGAGTCTCTCATGGGTCCCTGTACGGCCTCCCATTGCTGCTGTCTCCATCGCCACACTCTGCTGCCATGTGCCACTTTCAGGTCTCTTCACACTGCTGGTGTGTTAAATTTTTTGACATAGGGTGCAGCAGCAGCAGATTACGGGCCTCACATAGCTGCTGCCAGGCCCCTAATCTGCCATGGGCCCCTATATACCGCCTCCTCATGCTGCTGCCAAGTCCAGAGTCTGTCATGGGTCCCTGTACGGCCTCCCATTGCTGCTGTCTCCATCGCCACACTCTGCTGCCATGTGCCACTTTCAGGTCTCTTCACACTGCTGGTGTGTTAAATTTTTTGACATAGGGTGCAGGCAGATTACGGGCCTCACATAGCTGCTGCCAGGCCCCTAATCTGCCATGGGCCCCTATATACCGCCTCCTCATGCTGCTGCCAAGTCCAGAGTCTGTCATGGTCCCTGTACGGCCTCCCATTGCTGCTGTCTCCATCGCCACACTCTGCTGCCATGTGCCACTTTCAGGTCTCTCTTCACACTGCTGGTGTGTTAAATTTTTTGACATAGGGGGTGCAGGCAGATTACGGGCCCTCACATAGCTGCTGCCAGGCCCCTAATCTGCCATGGGGCCCCTATATACCGCCTCCTCATGCTGCTGCCAAGTCCAGAGTCTGTCATGGGTCCCTGTACGGCCTCCCATTGCTGCTGTCTCCATCGCCACACACACTCTGCTGCCATGTGCCACTTTCAGGTCTCTTCACACTGCTGTGTGTTAAATTTTTTGACATAGGGTGCAGGCAGATTACGGGCCTCACATAGCTGCTGCCAGGCCCCTAATCTGCCATGGGCCCCTATATACCGCCTCCTCATGCTGCTGCCAAGTCCAGAGTCTGTCATGGGTCCCTGTACGGCCTCCCATTGCTGCTGTCTCCATCGCCACACTCTGCTGCCATGTGCCACTTTCAGGTCTCTTCACACTGCTGGTGTGTTAAATTTTTTGACATAGGGTGCAGGCAGATTACGGGCCTCACATAGCTGCTGCCAGGCCCCTAAATCTGCCATGGGCCCCTATATACCGCCTCCTCATGCATGCTGCTGCCAAGTCCAGAGTCTGTCATGGTCCCTGTACCTCCCATTGCTGCTGTCTCCATCGCCACACTCTGCTGCCATGTGCCACTTTCAGGTCTCTTCACACTGCTGGTGTGTTAAATTTTTTGACATAGGGGGTGCAGGCAGATTACGGGCCTCACATAGCTGCTGCCAGGCCCCTAATCTGCCATGGGCCCCTATATATATACCGCCTCCTCATGCTGCTGCCAAGTCCAGAGTCTGTCTCATGGGTCCCTGTACGGCCTCCCATTGCTGCTGTCTCCATCGCCACACTCTGCTGCCATGTGCCACTTTCAGGTCTCTTCACACTGCTGGTGTGTTAAATTTTTTGACATAGGGTGCAGGCAGATTACGGGCCTCACATAGCTGCTGCCAGGCCCCTAATCTGCCATGGGCCCCTATATACCGCCTCCTCATGCTGCTGCCAAGTCCAGAGTCTGTCATGGGTCCCTGTACGGCCTCCCATTGCTGCTGTCTCCATCGCCACACACTGCTGCCATGTGCCACTTTCAGGTCTCTTCACACTGCTGGTGTGTTAAATTTTTTGACATAGGGTGCAGGCAGATTACGGGCCTCACATAGCTGCTGCCAGGCCCCTAATCTGCCATGGGGCCCCTATATACCGCCTCCTCATGCTGCTGCTGCCAAGTCCAGAGTCTGTCATCATGGTCCCTGTACTGTACGGCCTCCCATTGCTGCTGTCTCCATCGCCACACTCTGCTGCCATGTGCCACTTTCAGGTCTCTTCACACTGCTGTGTGTTAAATTTTTTGACATAGGGTGCAGGCAGATTACGGGCCTCACATAGCTGCTGCCAGGCCCCTAATCTGCCATGGGCCCCTATATACCGCCTCCTCATGCTGCTGCCAAGTCCAGAGTCTGTCATGGGTCCCTGTACGGCCTCCCATTGCTGCTGTCTCCATCGCCACACTCTGCTGCCATGTGCCACTTTCAGGTCTCTCTCTTCACACTGCTGGTGTGTTAAATTTTTTGACATAGGGTGCAGGCAGATTACGGGCACATAGCTGCTGCCAGGCCCCTAATCTGCCATGGGCCCCTATATACCGCCTCCTCATGCTGCTGCCAAGTCCAGAGTCTGTCATGGGTCCCTGTACGGCCTCCCATTGCTGCTGTCCATCCATCGCCACACTCTGCCATGTGCCACTTTCAGGTCTCTTCACACTGCTGGTGTGTTAAATTTTTTGACATAGGGTGCAGGCAGATTACGGGCCTCACATAGCTGCTGCCAGGCCCCTAATCTGCCATGGGCCCCTATATACCGCCTCCTCATGCTGCTGCCAAGTCCAGAGTCTGTCATGGGTCCCTGTACGGCCTCCCTCCCATGCTGCTGCTGTCTCCATCGCCACACTCTGCTGCCATGTGCCACTTTCAGGTCTCTTCACACTGCTGGTGTGTTTAAATTTTTTGACATAGGGTGCAGGCAGATTACGGGCCTCACATAGCTGCTGCCAGGCCCCTAATCTGCCATGGGCCCCTATATACCCGCCTCCTCATGCTGCTGCTGCCAAGTCCAGAGTCTGTCATGGGTCCCTGTACGGCCTCCCATTGCTGCTGTCTCCATCGCCACACTCTGCTGCCATGTGCCACTTTCAGGTCTCTTCACACTGCTGGTGTGTTAAATTTTTTGACATAGGGTGCAGGCAGATTACGGGCCTCACATAGCTGCTGCTGCCAGGCCCCTAATCTGCCATGGGCCCCTATATACCCCGCCTCCTCATGCTGCTGCCAAGTCCAGAGTCTGTCATGGGTCCCTGTACGGCCTCCCATTGCTGCTGTCTCCATCGCCACACTCTGCTGCCATGTGCCACTTTCAGGTCTCTTCACACTGCTGGTGTGTTAAATTTTTTGACATAGGGTGCAGGCAGATTACGGGCCTCACATAGCTGCTGCCAGGCCCCTAATCTGCCATGGCCCCCTATATACCGCCTCCTCATGCTGCTGCCAAGTCCAGAGTCTGTCATGGGTCCCTGTACGGCCTCCCATTGCTGCTGTCTCCATCGCCACACTCTGCTGCCATGTGCCACTTTCAGGTCTCTTCACACTGCTGGTGTGTTAAATTTTTTGACATAGGGTGCTGGCAGATTACGGGCCTCACATAGCTGCTGCCAGGCCCCTAATCTGCCATGGGCCCCTATATACCGCCTCCCTCATGCTGCTGCCAAGTCCAGAGTCTGTCATGGGTCCCTGTACGGCCTCCCATTGCTGCTGTCTCCATCGCCACACTCTGCTGCCATGTGCCACTTTCAGGTCTCTTCACACTGCTGTGTGTGTTAAATTTTTTTGACATAGGGTGCTGGCAGATTACGGGCCTCACATAGCTGCTGCCAGGCCCCTAATCTGCCATGGGCCCCTATATACCCGCCTCCTCATGCTGCTGCCAAGTCCAGAGTCTGTCATGGGTCCCTGTACGGCCTCCCATTGCTGCTGTCTCCATCGCCACACTCTGCTGCCATGTGCCACTTTCAGGTCTCCTCACACTGCTGGTGTGTTAAATTTTTTGACATAGGGTGCTGGCAGATTACGGGCCTCCTATAGCTGCTGCCAGGCCCCTAATCTGCCATGGGCCCCTATATACCGCCTCCTCATGCTGCTGCCAAGTTCAGAGTCTGTCATGGGTCCCTGTACGGCCTCCCATTGCTGCTGTCTCCATCGCCACACTCTGCCATGTGCCACTTTCAGGTCTCCTCACACTGCTGGTGTGTTGAATTTTTTGACATAGGGTGCTGGCAGATTACGGGCCTCCTATAGCTGCTGCCAGGCCCCTAATCTGCCATGGGCCCCTATATACCCGCCTCCTCATGCTGCTGCCAAGTCCAGAGTCTGTCATGGGTCCCTGTACGGCCTCCCATTGCTGCTGTCTCCATCGCCCACACACTCTGCCATGTGCCACTTTCAGGTCTCCTCACACACTGCTGGTGTGTTGAATTTTTTGACATAGGGTGCTGGCAGATTACGGGCCTCCTATAGCTGCTGCCAGGCCCCTAATCTGCCGTAGGCCCCTATATACCCGCCTCCTCATGCTGCTGCCAGGTCCAGAGTCTCTCATGGGTCCCTGTACGGCCTCCCATTGCTGCTGTCTCCATCGCCACACTCTGCCATGTGCCACTTTCAGGTCTCCTCACACACTGCTGGTGTGTTCCATTTTTTGTCATAGGGTGCTGGCAGATTGGGCCTCCCATAACTGCTGCCAGGCCCCTAATCTGCCATGGGCCCCTATACCGACTCCTCATGCTGTGACGTTGCAACAAGGTGGAATTCAACCCTACATATGTTAGAGACCGCCTTTACGAACAGCAAAAGGCCATCACAGATTTCCTGATGTTAAAAGCAGATAAAGGTACTCCCTGTGTAACTTAGATGTCAGCCATTGGCAGCTCATGCGTGACACCTGCGCTTGCTCAGGCCCTTTGAGGAGGCCACGCTATTCGTGAGTCGGCAGGACTATGGGGAACGACGTCATTCCTCTGTTGCACGTCCTGGAACAAATGCTGTTAACAATGGCTGGTCAGGGTGCGGTAGACGTGGCGCACAGATCTCAACGCCACATGGCCCCTGTGGGGGCAGGACTGGAAGAAGAGGAGGAGGTAGAGGAGGACATTGGTGCTCAGGAATTATTGAGTGAAATGGGTGGTTTTTTTCCACTCAGCGGACAGGAGTGGAGGAGCAGGAGCATCTGGTAGAGGAGGAGGAAGAGGAGACAGAGGACCTAGACCTAGACGCACCGTGGCAGTATGCTGTGGAGATGGAGGCAGGGAGTCCCTCGCATTCCTTGGCACAAATGGCCCATAGCATGCTCGGTTGCTTGCGTAGCGACAGCCGAATAATAACCATCAGACAGAGGGATGACTTTTGGCTGTCCACCTTGTTGGACCCTCGCTACCGTTCAAAAATGGTGGCCTTTTTCACACCTGCTGAGAGGGAGGCCAAAATAACGTACTATAAAAAACACCTATGTAGTCAGCTGGTCTCTGCCTGTCTGCGCCAACGTCCATCCTCAGACACTGTGGGCCCTGTGCGCTCGTGTTCCGCTGCCATGGCAGCAGGGGGAGGGGTGGGGTGGGTAGGGAGCAGTGGCAGCTCCACCAGCAGCGGCTGCCTCAGTCTGCAGTCGATGATGAGTAGCTTTCTTCACCAGCGCAGTGAGGAAACTACTAACCAGCCGCAGCAGCAGCAGCAGCATCAGGTGGACCTGGAGCAGGACCTCAAACAACAGGCTTAGGCCCTACTTGGACAGCACCCTGCCAACCGAGGTAGACAATCCCCTTGACTACTGGGCAACGAAACTTGACCTTTGGCCCCAACTAGCTGAATTTGCCCTTGAAAGGCTGTCATGCCCCCGGCCAGTAGCGTGGCATCGGAGCGCGTGTTTAGTGCGGCAGGAGGTATTGCAACTCCGCGGAGGACACGACTGTCCACCCAAAGTGTGGAGAGACTCACGTTTTTGTGAAAATGAATCAGGGCGTGGATTAGTCTGGATTTCAAACCACCAGTTCCTGACACAACTGACTAAATCCGCCATGAATCATGCCCCCAAACATGTGCCACTTTCAGGTCCTCCTCACACTGCTGGTGTGTTCCATTTTTTGTCATAGGGTGCTGGCAGATTACGGGCCTCCCATAGCTGCTGCCAGGCCCCTAATCTGCCATGGGCCCCCCTATACCGCCCTCCTCATGCTGCTGCCAAGTCCAGAGTCTCTCATGGGTCCCTGTACGGCCTCCCATTGCTGCTGCCTCCATCGCCACACTCTGCCATGTGCCACTTTCAGGTCTCCTCACACTGCTGGTGTGTTCCATTTTTTGTCATAGGGTGCTGGCAGATTACGGGCCTCCCATAGCTGCTGCCAGGCCCCTAATCTGCCATGGGCCCCTATACCGCCTCCTCATGCTGCTGCCAGGTCCAGAGTCTCTCATGGGTCCCTGTACGGCCTCCCATTGCTGCTGTCTCCATCGCCACACTCTGCCATGTGCCACTTTCAGGTCTCCTCACACTGCTGGTGGGTTCCATTTTTTGTCATAGGGTGCTGGCAGATTACGGGCCTCCCATAGCTGCTGCCAGGCCCGTAATCTCTGCCATGGGCCCCCGTACCGACTCCTCATGCTGCTGCCAGGCCCGTAATCTGTCATGGGCCACTGTTGTCGCTTGTTGGCATATTCCGCTCGTTCAGATGCTCCTTCTCCTGCTACTCCTCTTCACGGATTCCGTCAGCAGTCTTTCTTGGAATCCGTTTCCAAGAGACAACAGTTTGCGAGCACGCACCCGACGGTGCAGAAGCTGAACGTCCTCCTGTCCAAGTTGCTGCTGCCAGGCTCGTAATCTGTCATGCGCCCCCCTGTACCGCCTCCTCATGCTGCTGCCAGGTCCAGAGTGTGTCATGGGCCCCCGTACCGACGACTCCTCATGCTGCTGCCAGGCCCGTAATCTGTCATGGGCCCCTGTACCGCCTCCCCATGCTGCTGCCAGGTCCAGAGTGTGTCATGGGTCCCTGTACGGCCTCCCATTGCTGCTGCCAGGCCCGTAATCTGCCATGGGCCCCTGTACCGACTCCTCATGCTGCTGCCAGGCCCGTAATCTGTCATGGGCCCCTGTACCGCCTCCTCATGCTGCTGCCAGGTCCAGAGTGTGTGTCATGGGTCCCTGTACGGCCTCCCATTGCTGCTGTCTCTATCGCCACACTCTGCCATGTGCCACTTTCAGGTCTCCTCACACTGCTGGTGGTTTCCATTTTTGTCATAGGGTGCTGTATGGCCTCCCATTGCTGCTGCCTCCACCGCCACACTGTGGCTCCACACTCTGGTTTTGGCCCCGTGACTGCCCAAATGAGTGAAGTGTGCGGTGATTCTAAGATCGACGGCACTCATCTGCATGTCATACTGACTGACAGTATTATTTCTCTTCCCCAGCAGACTCCAAGGGCATTTAAATTAAAGGTACAGTGTTCTGCACTAATATTAAGTCTCTCTGAAGCCTAGAAACACCCTTTTTTAAGTTAAATTCACAGCGAATTTATTCGACTCGAATCGAATATTGTCCACGAATTCGCCGAATCAGTCGAATCGAATTTTAGATCCAACAGTTTACTAAGCACTTTACAAAATATAATAATACATTACACTTACAATACAATTTAAGACATGAGGTTTAAGAGGGCCCTACTCTAGTGAACTTACAATTTTAAAAAGGAAAGGGTTAGTTATATAAAAGAAAATAACTATCAGGGGAAAAGGTAAAGGAGAAAGTAAAGTTCAGCTTTTAGGTTGAGGTGGGATAGGCTTCCCTGAAGAGGTGAGTTTTCAGGGATTATCTAAAGGGGGATAGATAGCTCAAGAGATTGGAATAGGAAGTTCCAAAACCTGCAGGAGGCTCTGAATAAGTCAGTCTTGGAGGCAAGCATGAGTGAAGGTGATAGGAGAGTTAAAGAGTAGGAATGAGATGAATGCACCTGGGTTTGGTTTGCAGGAGTTTGTCAAACAACTCACAAGTTCCAGCATTAATCCCAAAACTGTTGAAATCAATGGAGCCACATCTTTAAAATCAGTTCTGGCTATTTTAAATACTAATAGGGAAGGGATTGTTGAACAAATGGCACAAGGGGCTAAAAAAAAAAATAAAAACAATTCAGTTTTGCAGCCAACAGTAGGTAGCAGTACTTTTAATAAGGCATAAACCTAAGGTGAAACACTAAAATGCACAAATCCTTTAAAAACCTAAAAAATTTGCCTGTTTGTTAGGATGCAGCTGCTGGCTTCCTAATACACAGGAGCCCTGCATGGGAAGCTGCCACATTTAGCAATAGTAGTAATACCACCCTAAATGTGACTTCCTGCTGCAGCTGAAGTTTGGTTTAGAGGGCGGATGGGCAAAGCAAATTCAAACCAAATCCTACTTTAGTCCAAACCTGATGCTCATCCCTACTAAAAATCAAGAAGCCTTTGGAAGAGCGCAGAGGACAATTGCTTGGTATTTTGAGATAAGTTTGATTATGTAGCCCTTGCCCTTCGCTCCTCGCGGGACCTCCTACTCTCTAGCTCCCTGGTCTCCTCCTCCCACGCCCGATTGCAGGACTTCTCCAGGACTTCCCTCATCCTCTGGAGCTCCCTACCCCAGTCCATCGGACTGTCGCCTACCCTCCTCACCTTCAGGCGCACCCTGGAAACCCTCCTCTTCAGGGATGCCTACCCCAACCTCACCTAACACCCAACCTCACCTAACAACTAACCTCCTCCACTCCTCCCGCCACTCACCATCCCCCACAGGCATCTCCTCCTGTGCCACCTTCCCCTCCCTCCTAGATTGTAAGCTCGAAAGAGCAGGGCCCTCGATCCCCTCGTGTATTGTATTGTTACTGCCTTGTCTCATGTTCTGTCCCCCTTGCTATTGTACAGCGCTGAGCATACCCTTTGGCGCTATATAAATACTGTAAATTAATAATAATGTAGTTTGCGGCAGAGTTGTGGATTGCTTTGTAGGTTGTTGTTAGCATTTTCAGTTTTTATTTGTTGGGTAAGTGGAAGCCAGTGAAGGGATTGGCAGAGAGGGGTGGTACAGTGGATGAGCCTGGCAGCAGTATACATGATGGATTGAAGGGGGCTAGCCTGTAAAAGCAGGCCAATTCCATTAGTCTAGGCAAGAGATAAGGAAGTAAAAGGATATCAAAGGCAACAAAGATTTGGACAATGATTGGATGTGGGGCTCGAAGGGGAGGTCATAGTCCAGGATTACACCTAGCACCCTGGCATGGGGGGGGGGAAACATATGATTGTGCTATTGATCTTGAGGGAAAAGGCAGGAGAGGGGGGGAGAATATTATGAGCTCAGTTTTAAAAAAAATGAGTTTGAGGAAGTGGTGTGTCCTCACACTAAAATGTCAGTAAATGAGTAATGCCCAAGGAAACTGAAGGAGTGAGTTGAGAGATAGATTTGGGTGTTGTAAGAGTAGAAATTCGCAATATTCCCATCGCACATTTTCCTGAAATGGGCTGGAAGCTAAACAGGTGCTGCGGCAACAACCAGCTGGGAACTGATAACATCACAGGTTAATATGTATATTCACGGGGAACACCATGGATAGTACACTTTAGTAATGTCCAAACACTTTTATTCAAAGAGATCACATCACAGCAAGAAAGTACAAAGCATTAGGGGCAATGCTGGACCTCTTTGTCAGGTATGTGATATCTTTGATTAAAAGCTTCATCCAATGAAGGGAGGAGGAGTAGATAGAGAATAGAAGGGGTTGGAGGACTCCTTGGTGAACCTGTATGGAAAGTGGAAAAGGAGAGGAAGAGATGAAATTATTGGTGATTTTAAGCACTTAGATAGGTAGGAAGCAAAACCCAAGAGAGAGCAGAATATTGGAGACAGAGGGAGTAGAGTTTTTTGAGGAGGAACAGATGGTTAAATGTATCAAAGGCAGCAGAAAGGTCCTAATGGTATGATTATGGAGCAGTGGTTATTGGTTGTAGCAGTTAGCAAGTTAAGAAGGTTGTTATCAGTGAGGCAGCATTTCCCGATTAGGCATTTTAGAAGTTTGGAAAAAGGAGTTGAGTCTTAAGGTGTTTAGACTATTAAGGTCGAGCAAGGGCTATTTAAGTATGGGGTAACCAGTGCATGTTTAAAAGAAGAAGTAGCAGATGTCCAAAGTAAGGGAGAGACTAAAGAGAGCCTAGAACAGGGGTGGGCAAACTTTTTGACTTCAGGCCGCAATGGGTTCATAATATTGGACCCGGGGGCCGGACCAAGAGTAGATGAATGATGTGTATGTGTCATCCATAGTAAGTATAGTAATATTCCCCCATAGCAAGCATAGTAATTAATCCCCCATATAGTAATCCATCCCCCATATAGTAATTCATCCCCCCATAGTAATTCACCCCCATAGTAATTCATCCCCCCATAGTAATTAATCCCCCATATAGTAATTCATCACCCATAGTAATTCATCCCCCATAGTAATTCATCCCCCATAGTAATTCATCCCCCATATATAGTAATTCATCCCCCATAGTAATTCATCCCCCATATAGTAATTCATCCCCCATATAGTAATTCATCCCCCTATAGTAATTCATCCCCCCTATAGTATTCATCCCCCATAGTAATTCATCCCCCCTATAGTAATTCATCCCCCATATTGTAATTCATCCCCCATATAGTAATTCATCCCCCATAGTAATTCATCCCCCATATAGTAATTCATCATCCCCCATATAGTAATTCATCCCCCATAGTAATTCATCCCCCATTAGTATTTATCCCCCATATAGTAATTCATCCCCCATATAGTAATTCATCCCCCATAGTAATTAATCCCCCATATAGTAATTTCATCCCCCCTATAGTAATTCATCCCCCTATAGTAATTCATCCCCCCTATAGTAATTCATCCCCCCTATAGTAATTCATCCCCCTATATAGTAATTCATCCCCCATATAATTCATCCCCCATAGTAATTCATCCCCCATATGTAAATTCATCCCCCATATTAGTAAATTCATCCCCCATAGTAATTCATCCCCCATATAGTAAATTCATCCCCCATATAGTAATTCATCCCCCATAGTAATTCATCCCCCATATAGTAATTCATCCCCCATATAGTAATTCATCCCCCATAGTAATTCATCCCCCATATAGTAATTCATCCCCCATAGTAATTCATCCCCCATAATAGTAATTCATCCCCCATAGTAATTCATCCCCCATATAGTAATTCATCCCCCATAGTAATTCATCCCCCATATAGTAATTCATTCCCCATATTAATTCATCCCCCATATTAAGTCCCCAAGTCCCCCCTGTGTCAATTCACTTACCTTTGCTCCGCGCGTTCCTCTCGCCGTGTTCCCCGAGCCGTTCCGGTGTAGCATGAAAATCTGTCTCCTATGAGGATCTGTCCCCCTCGACGTATCTGCGCATGTGCCAGTTTCAGGCATTAGCAGCTGATCGGCGATCTCCGGCACATGCGCAGATACGTCGAGGGGGACAGATCCTCATAGGAGACAGATTTTCATGCTACACCGGTCTTCAGGGCGGACTGTGAGAGGAGCCTAGCTCCGCGGGCCGGATTAAAAGGTCCGCCGGGCCGTATACGGCCCGCGGGCCGTAGTTTGCCCATTGCTGGCCTAGAATAAAGAAAGAAGGTCACCAGAGCAGTTCTGAGGGGAGACAATTCAGGGGGCAGATGGCTAGGTGAACATCAGTGAAAGGTTTAGCAACCTCAGCTGTAGTAACATGGTCAAAAGGGCAAAATGGTAAATTTGGTGGTAGACATAGTATGTTAAGAGGGGGAGAAATCTGTACATACAGTGTATACCCCATTAAACACAGTCAATGTTTATTGTGGGTGCAGATGTGTCTGTGGAAGGTCTGTTGTGTCCATCAGTACAATTCATGACTGGGTGCTTCTCAGTACAGAAAGGTTTATAAGTTGAGTATAGATATTTCTCTCTTCCCATCATTGTAACTCCTCACCCCTTACCAAGTAAGAAATACTACAGTCATCTCTATCCATGTGTAGTCTAGTCCAGCGACGTCCAATTTAATAGGGCCCAAGGGCCACATTTATATCCACAAGTGTAGTGGGATTTGATTTTCTATGCAATCTATAGTAAAATAAGTAAAAAAAAAAAAAACCCTTGAGGACCAACGACATACCCGTACGTTGCTTGACTTCAAACAGTTTTACTGGGATGATGCCTTCAATCAGTTTTCCCACTGGAGGATTCGAATGACCAGCCAAACAATGCTTGGATTAGCTTTGATCGGCTCTCAGTTATAATAATCCAGAAGTGATATCAAGTCACTCGGCAGTAAAAAAACTCAAGCATTCAAAAACACAGATCTTGGTGTTTTGATAGCTTTTAAGTGGAGAGGAGGGATTTGGGGACCCTAGATCCCTCTATATAGAATACCTGTCATGTGCCTATTGCTGTCAAAAGATGTTTACATGCG